TGGGCCAGCCTGTTGTGGAAGACCTGTTGGGCATGGAAGAGTCCGCAATTGAAGGACTTGGTTCCCTCCTTGACCATCCATTGGGCCCCAGGTTCAGTTTTGAGCCAAGCGGCCGTTAGTTCTTCCATCCGCTCCATTGCGACTACCGTGAAGTCAGGAGAGGACTTGAAGGATTCTACCGCTCCCTCTGCATGGCGGACCCGATCGCTCCTCTCCACCTCCAACTGCTGGATCAGATCAGATTTCTCCCCTTCCAGCTCGACCACTCGAGCAGAAACAGATTCTACCTCCAAGGACAAGGAGGCCTTGTCTGCCTCAAGGGCGACGCAGCGGTTCTCCTGGGAAGCTTTCTCCACAGTAAGCGCCGCGCAGCGATTTACTTTCTCCTCCAACTCCCTGGTGAGTCGGGCGACCTCCTCCTGCAGCTCCTTCTGCTTGGCCTCGGCTGCTTTCATCACCTCGTCCGCGACGGCCTGGCGACCCCGTTTCCGGCCGACCACCTCAATCATCCCCAGCGTAGCCTGCGCAAAGGGGTGAGGGTTAGGGGCCTAAAGAAAAGGAGTGATGCATAGGAGATCAAGACCAGTACCTGACTGAGCCTCAAAAGGACCATGTTGTCAAGGTCGTCCTCGGAGCCTGCCGAGATACGAGCCTGGTCTTCTGCAAGCAGAGTGATAAGAGTCTCCAGCTGTACGTCCCCTAGGCTTTGGGGCAGGGGAGGGATGTAGAGCCTCGTCGAGCGACCCCCGGTCGCCACCTCGTAGGTCACTGCGGGTGGTGATGGAGGTCGCTCCAAGGCAATGCCCTGAGACGACCCAGCGAGGTCGCCACCCTGCATCACGGGGTGTGGAGGGGACTGGCCAACCATGGTACCCGGTTCCTGGGTAGCATCTTCTTGGTCCTCCACCACAATTACGACCGGATCTCGAGAAGGACCCTCCTCGTGGTGGGATGACGAACGTTTGCCCTGGCCCTTCGTCTCTCTCTTCCTTTTCCTCCCTACGGTGAAGCGACTGAGCAGGAGATCGCTGTCCATCTCTTCTCCTGAATCTTGTAATTCCACTGGAAACAAAGGAAATGGTCAGCCTTGGGAAAAGATAAACTAAACATCTGGGCAAAAGAAAGGGTCACCTACCAAAAGGACCACAATAGAGACCTTCCTCAGGAATGTCCTTCAGCTGGTCAGGCTGATGCCCCCCGGGGATGTCCCTCAGTAGGTCGGGTTGGTGGCGAAGCTCATCCTGAACAAACTCAAACCCCAACCCGGCAAGGGTTTCCTTTGTCACCACCTCTTTGATGTTCATAACTCCCTTATTGCAGAATTGGCAAGTGATAGACAAAAGGGTGGCATCAGGTGGGGGGCGTGGGATGCGACGGAAGGAAGGGCGCCCTGAACCCGTGAAAGGAGATTCGGGCCCCGTCGAAACGAAGACAAAGAAAGGCTTCCAATCTTTGGTTGACCCCTTCTTATCACTAGCAAAGAGTTTACTGGACCTCTGGGAAAGACTGGCATAAGACGCCCAATCCTTATGGCCCTTGGTCAGTTTGAAGGTGAATATGAAATGGTCCAAGGTCGGATTCACCCCTACATCTTTGCACCGGACCAGGTAACCGGCGATGTACCGGTGAGAGTTGGGGACCAGTTGGCACGGGAGAAGGTCCACCACGTTGAGGAATTCGATCAACAACGGGTGGAGTGGGAAGCGCAGCCCCT